CTTATTCATCTGTACTCTGTTAATCTAAGGCCCTTATTCAGTTTATGGATCAAATTGATTTCCAATTTTCCTATTCTTAGCAATTTCAATTGACCTTTCCAGGAATTAGTCATATATCTTTTCATGAACATAAAGTCTACTTCCAGAAATACAAATTTAGCCAGCATTAAAGTATGAGGCAATAGCTGAAAGCTGAAGTGCTTAGTCAATATCAGCATCGTCCATCACAATGTTTGGTGATTTACCTCCAAGTTCTAGAGTAATTCTCTTTAGATTGTCTTTATGTGAATTCCTCATAATTGAATATCCAACCTCAGTTGAACCTGTAAACGCAATTTTATCGACAAGTGGATGCTAAACAAGAGCTTGTCCAGCTGTTGAACCAAGTCCTGGCAAGATATTTATAACTCCATCTGGGAATCCTGCTTCAAGAGCAAGTTCTCCAATCCTCAAGGCAGTTAAAGGAGTATCTTCAGCTGGTTTCAAGACTAATGTGCAACCTGTAGCCAGAGCAGGTCCAAGTTTCAAACCAGCCATGACAGTAGGGTAGTTCCAGGGTATAATTTGGCCGCACACTCCAACAGGTTCTTCTTTGGTATAAGCAAAGTATGGTCCATTCACAGGAATAGTCTTCCCATGTATTTTATCAGCCCATCCAGCGTAGTATCTTAGTGTCATAGCACAGAATGGGACATCACCTTGAGTAGCAATCATTTCTGGCTTTCCATTATCTAAGGCTTCTAAATATCCAAGCTCTTCAACATTCTTATCAATAAGGTCAGCTAATTTACATAAAAGCTTCCCTCTTTCTGATGCTGCCATTCTTCTCCATGGACCTTCATCAAAAGCTTTTCTGGCAGCTTTGACTGCTCTATCAACATCTTCAGCGCCAGCTTCCTAGACGGAGGCAATTTTTTCTTCAGTGGCAGGGTTAAATGTGTCGAAAGTCTATCCACTAGCTGAATTGACGAACTTTCCATTGATGAGTAATTATGTTACTCTGGGTTTGATATGGGTAGATGAAGTAAATGATCTTTTCAAAAGAGTAGTTAACATCTTAAAACAAGAAGTAAAACGATTAAAGTTTGATTGAATAGTAATCTTAAAGATATTTTATATAAAAATTCAACTCAGCCTCATTTATTAAACTGTGTAAATCAATGTGTTTTTATTGCTTAAAGATTTTACTATTTAAAATAATGCATTCAAATAGAGTCATGGGGTTTTGGGGTTTTGGGGTTTTGGGG